ACCACAAATCCACCACGAAACTTCTTTTACATTTCTCCATATTATAAATATTGTTACCACTTGACAGAACTATTAATAAAACTGAAACTAATAATAAACCTTCACCTTTATGTACAAAATCTGTGCTAGAGATGAATGGACATTCACGTTCCTTTATCAAGTTTTGCATGCTATTTTAAAACCATACATAATGTTTAAGGAATAGCATATGAGAGAGAGGGAAACAAATTCATCTTTTGAAATGTCTTTCTTATGGCTCCTGAGTAGTTAATCCAACATGTTACAGAAATATTTCTTTTTGTATTCAGATAATGTTAAACTATGCACATTAGAAAAATACTACTTTTCCCAAGCCTTCCTTCTTTTTACTCAAGTATGCAAAAGGACTGTAACTTCTATAGTTACTATAAAAGAAGTGCAAATGAACTGAAAATCGGCAGGTAAACACACATCAGTAAAAACATATTGAGAATAATGGAAAGCTGCATTGATTTTGTTGCTGTTCTTTGAACTCCTCAATGGGATTAAAGAACTAACAAGGGCGAGGTCAAAAAGTTCATTTAAAATCAATTAAAAGACCTCCCTTGATTCCAGCAGCCTCATAGCTAGCAATGCATGTCATCACAAGAAAGACAGCAGTTTCCTTTTCAGGAAGGATCTCGAACTTTACCCATGTATGAAAATGCTTAGAGGTCTATTAAATGGTGAGAAAAGAACACAGAAAATACATGTTAGCTTACCAAGCCCAAAAATCAGAGGCTTAAGACACTTTGGATCTCTCTCAGCTCTGTACACAGAAGTCAACAAAAAGCCAATAACAAATTTACAACAAAGCATTTTAAAGCAAACTGTGGCACTTGGGTAGCCGATGCCCACACAGCTCAACCACCTCTGGACTGATGGTGAGGCAGATGACTGGGGAAAGCAAACCTTACCAGCTGTGCCCCATTGAAGTCAATTATCTTTCAAACTTCAGACACCTGTCTTGCTCAAGCTGTAAACAACCAGACGTTCATTCCTGTAATGTTATCAACAGTGACTTCAGTCTGCAAGGCTCTTAGTCTACAAAAGGAAATGGTGGGGGGATAGGGAAGGAGATTTACAGAGACTGGGTGTGTCTCAACAAGTGTGACTTCAACAGTGCTTCTCATCAGGCAAATTAAACATTTTACAATACACGTTCCCCCTTAGGTGCCCTCCTCTTCTGTTGCTGGTGGAAACAATTTAGCAACAGCCTGGTTAACTGAGGATCAGGTTCCTCTGTGCTTCCTTCCTGATCATTCCTTTTCCTCTCACACTTAGATACGCAACATGCAGCTGTGGAGCACAGTCAAGAATAAAATGTAAGTGCTTTAAAATGTAAGTGCTAGGAATAGAAGTTCCACTCTGAATCACTTCCAGCCCTAGCACTTCTAAGTCTACAATAATTTAGTTAGAGCTGCATGAGCAGTAATTATGCTGAATTTATGTGTTCTTCTTTATGTGAACTGCTTCACTTTAAAGGCTGAGGGCATGTCTGCTATTCCCCTTCTCCCTACACACACACAACCCTGCACACTCTGTTCCAATTACAGGTTAATTTCCCAAAGTACCTTGGAACACACATTTACCTGCCCTGGCTTAAAACGTGTCTACATTGCTGAGGTGCAGGGTAGGATTAATGTTCAAATTCTGAAGTAATTTGAAGAAGGTCAACAGATTAAGCCCCCTTTCTCAAAGCAGCTTCTCTCAAAACTGGCATTATGCTAGTTTTTTCCACAGATGCATCTCAAATTTCATCTGTACACTACATATGTATGTCTTGACATATGTATGCATATATACACACATAAAAAATAAGCTGCACTGGGCCTGGTACTATTCTGTTCTAGTGGAAGTGAGGTAGAGGGGGAACAGAGCAACAATTAAAACTAGGTTCTCTTGAATAGATGCACATCTAACTCACAAACCAGAGGTTTCCACTGGAAACGTAAAAAACAGAGTGCTCTGTGGTCTGTCAGTTCTCACATGAGCTGTGAGTCTCAGGGGTCTCTGTGGTAGCCATTGAACCTGACCTCCACCCAGGTAGGGTCATTTTAAATTGACTCTTGGCACATATACAAGAAAGGAAGGCAGAGGTAATTTGCTTTTGTCAGAGTTCTGCTCTGTTGTCATTTGGCGAAAGTGGAACCTAAATAAAGAGGAAGATACAGAAGGCACTGAAACTTCCTTTTTTTTTTTTTTTTTTTTTTTTTTAAGCAAACAGTAGGTGTCCAAATGTCAGCAGCAGGAGGAGAAAGAGCAAATAAGACACTGGAGTGAGGAGGGGAGCCTCTAGGAAGTGGAGGAAGATGATGGGAACAGGGAAAAAAACCAGCATAGCAGGAAGAGGACCAGAGATGGGAAAGGGTCAACATCATCAGTAGCAAAACAAGCACAAAACACTCCATAGGTCTATTTCTTCTCCCCTGTGAATATTCTATGAACCAGTGGTCCTTGCAGCATTTTACTCAATTCCCCATAGAATATGGGAAACATCTGAACATCTGAACAGAGAAACACTCCACCTCTCAAGAGGTCTCTGACTGTTTTCTACGACTCCCTCCTCTTGCTCCAATGTGAGAGCTGGCTCTCTTAGAAGCAGCATACCACTGCTTACCTTCCACTTTTATTGTGCTCTGACAATCTCAGCATATATGTGAATTTATCCTTCCCTACCTGCTCCCCCACTCTCCCTTTCACATGTGCCCTGCAAAGGGATTTGAGATGTATGCACAGAGCGAGCTGGATGGAAGAGGTAAGGACAGGTGTGCTTCACTCTTCGTTTCTTTCAGGAAGAGAGAGGATGAGAAAATTCTGCCTGAAATGAATGGAGCAATTCACCCCTCTCAGAGCTGCTGTTTTAAGCTACATATAAGTCTCAAGCCATATTCATCTCCATCTTGTATTCTCACTCAGTTCAGGACATGTGACTGTGATGAATCGGTCATCTTACACCTTTCTGAAAAGCCTTTTGTTTAAAGGTCATTTTCTTCAAAGTGCCATATAATCCCCATGGTTATCTAACTGCCTTAAAATCCGGCATGGCCATCAAGGCGGTGAGTAGAATTATGGATCTAAATTAGAGGTCACTTGAGTCAAGAATTCCCAAGATATAACCTTTTTTTTTTTTTTTTATTTTTTTTTTTAAGGGAAAAAAAAAAAGCATTCCTTAACATTGACCAATTGTACCAATGTTTCCTTTGTGCACACTTCTAGAATAATACTGTGACCAAAGAGCCTCAGTTTTACCCCAGCAAATGAAAGCCATCAACTATCTCCTTTTTATTCAGAGTTTAGATGCTTTCAAAAATTTCAACTCCACACATGTGGAGAATGATATGCTTGAGACTTTGGGGGGTTCCAGACCCTTTGAGTAGGTCTGAACATCTCCCTCCATTCCTATATAAAGCCTGGGAAATCCTTTTTCTTAAGAATCCTTCTTTCTGCACTTACCAAGTGTTTAGAAGTTGGAAATGAATTGCGGGTAGTTTGTTTTGAAAATTAAGAAAAAAGCAGAAAAGAAATGGTAAATCACAACTCTGGAAATAGTTCAAAAGGGTAAGAGGAAGGGAAGAGGCTAGATGGGTGAATCAGAACCTTCTCTAGGCTCTAGTGGGAAGATCACAACAGCACCAATAGCTTGGGAATAAAAGTATGAATATATCTACTGTGCAACAGCAGTGCTATATGCAAGCAACTGCAGAGTACCAAGTATCTGCCATATGAATGGTGCTTAAAATACCAAGACTTGGTGAAACAGGAAAGATGAATCAACTGAAAATGGCAGCAGAAGAGTTTAGGGACAAAAGAGAGATAATCTAGGACAGTTGTACCATAATTACTTGAAAATCCAAAGTCACCTGGTACTTCAGTTTTTCATCAGGGCAGGACTTCTGAAAATGGACAGGTAAAACAGAGGCAAAAGTACAAGTGCACTAGGGAGAGGTAAAATAACTCTCTCTACAGCCTTGAATGAAAGATGATTCTGGCTCTCAATATCGGAAAAATGTGTGGGGTTTAGGGGGGAGGTGTGGATGTGCTATTGAAACTCTTTTTCTTGGATGGAATTAAAAGGGGAGACACCTGATTTAATGTTCTGAAACCCTCCCCTTCTCCCCCACCCAAAAGAAATTGCCTGAATGATAACTGTTATGAATTTCTTGACAAAGACTCGTACGAGCCAAGTGTCAAAATGATAGTGTGACAGTAGATATATTGCCTCTACTGCTCATCCCCCAAAATACAAACTACTGCTGAGGGCTTCCTTGGGAAGGTTTATACAGATTAGGTTTTAATTCTGTTACCTAAATATATCATCCTCTCCATTAGGCAGAAGAGCAACCCCACAGAAAAAAAGGGTTTCTCAGACAGAATGAGGAAGATCACTAAGCTATTTTAATCTCTCAAATAAAGGGTTCCCAAGTTTCATCCTAAATAAAAATTTATGAAAGTATTTAATAGGATGATTCCCAAATAGAAAACTAAACACATATCCTTTTGATTGCAAAAGGAGTGACCCAGGGAGAATCTGGGGCACAGAGCACCACAATACAGAACCAGCAGTAAGGGAGCAGCAGCAAGTGGAACTCCCTTGGATACAGAAACGCTCCGTGAAAACTTTAAAATCCCAGGCACAGCAAAAGCAAACGGGGCTTCAGCATTTTTTTTTTTTCCAAGAGCTACATTCATCTGGGAAGCAGAAAGCACTAGTTGTTTCACTAAAATTCAATTTATGTTAAAAAGAAGTTGAAATGGTTTCTGAAAACTTAACTCTGTGGTCTGGCTTCTTGTTAGTCCACACAAGAGTCTGTGTGCAAAAGGCAGTGTATTGAACATCAGTAAGCTCTCTCAATATTTATTTTAAAAACTAAGCTATCTCAAAAGAGCAAACCAGAATTTTCACATGATGGGAGCCATGCTATACAAGACTATTTGTGTTAACAGATTAAATGCATTTTCTTCCCTTTTAATTAACTTACCGGGTTGATAATATGTCAATAAGTTCTCTTCTGTTCTGGACTCTGAGGGTATTAGTTTGGTATCTAGAATCTTTACTAATTTCAGGCAAATTCAAGACCTAAGTAAAAATAAAGATAAGTAAGAAATGTGCTTGGTAAGAGATATTTACATAGCTAACAAAATAAATTACTGATTTTAAAAAATTCACCAATTTACAATAACAGCTACTTCTCATTAATCTTTTAACACAGATAAAGAAATTAAAAATTAAATCACTTTTTAATGCTTCCTTGTTAACATTACGTAAGAAGTAAAGATTAATAAAGAAATTTAATTAAATTAATTTTCTCGATTAAAAAAGAAATTAAACTGAAGATCCAAATCTTAGCTGATAGCTTTCATGATTAGCTAGGAGAAATTCTTATTGCAGAACTCTAAAAATTGCTAAGTTACTACAGTGAGGTTGGAGAGATCTGTGGGATTATCCTGCACTAATTTATATGTCACAGAATAAGAAGTATGTCTGTACTTCATACACTAGACTGAGAAAAGCTATTACTAAGAATATTTCTTTTCACTTCAGTACTCTTCATCAAAAAGAAAAAGTCTTTCTCTATGGAAACATCTTTTTTATTATTTTTTCCAAAGGAATTAATAAAGAAAAGTAATGGTATAACCTCTAAGAAAGGAGAAATATATCTTCTATATTTAACTGTCACCTTTCATATTAGAAATTTAAGCAACATGCAAAGACAATGTGAATTATTTTACAAAGGGAATTAAATATGCAGAATGGCTCTTAGAATTTTGTAGACAAAGTAGCTGTGCGGACAACCAACAAAATTTATCCATTTATGCCACAACGTCTTTCTAGAGAACAGAAATAAACAGAATTAATTGTGCTTTCTAAATTTAATAATAAATGCCTCAATAACACCAGCTACAGAGAAAGGCAGCATAGAATCTTATAAAGGAAGAGATTTTCACATTTTCTTTGTGTGTTTTTACTCACTAGCACACACTTCAGATCAGCTTTTCTTATGATGATTCTTATAATCATTCTAAACATGCCACATTTTTTTACAGGGCCGTGTCTAAGATGGCTTAAAAAAAATACAGTGGCTAAAACTGGAAGTCCCTACAGGCCATCATCCTATCTCTGCCTGTGTCTGAGTGCTGATGCTTAGGAAGGGCTTAAGAACAGGGCCAGTACATACAACACTTCCTTAACCTTCATCCAAACTCCAGGCCCCTTTCGATTAGGACATTTCTGAGTTGGAAGTGTTTTCTATCTATTTAGTAATTATCAATGGATTTCGGTTTTATTAACATGTCAGTCAGCTGTTCCTTGAATCCACATGACTACCTACTACCACAGAAGTATAAACAAATTGGTGTCAGTCTCAAACATAACATTCTGCTGATTCCTCTGACACTGGTTTAGACCAAGGCCACTCTCATTTAATGACGCCTAACTTTGCTGGAGAGAACAAGCACGCGGCTTCCCTTACAAGTGAGTAGCTGCTGATGGTACAAAACCATCAGCAAAACAGATATTCTTTCTATTTAGAGATATTCAAAACAGATAGTCACCTTCGGCATAGTTGTCACACAGAGTGACAAAACTAAGCATGGAAACCAAGGTATCCATAAGTTATGCTATAACAATGATGATGTTACAGAACTTCACTGCAAATTTTTATCTGCAGTGTAACATAAAGCATCAATCTAGCATCTTCCATCAATACTTAATTCACAGCATATTTTATTTTTTTTTTCTGTGTTTATACAATGTAGTTTATGAAAATCATTACCTATTATAATTTAGCTTTAGAAAATAGGTAGATTTTCCTATCTGGGGTTCTATCAATAATATTAGTATCCCTTAAAATTACCTCCTTTTCTTAATTCTGCTATTTTGGAGTTACAAATCACTGCTTTAGGAAAAAAAAAATCATGCAAGGTTGTTCAAAGTAAATTATAGTGAATACTTATTTATGAGATCTTAAAAAAACAAGCAATTAATCAGAAAACTATGGTTCCATTTGATGAGTTATATGAAAAAATGATCATATGGAGTTGCTCACTCTGCTGTTTTAATTAACGTTACTGACTTCAGTTTTAACTTAATGTCCATCTGTCGTAAAGCTGCACGTCTATATATGTTCTCAGTTTTTGGTGACTAACAAATGTACACTTGAGAAGTTATTCATTAACGTACCATTCATCTTTCTGCATCATTTCTTTATTTCGCTGTGACCATTTGAAATTAAACCAGTGTTCTCCGTTGGAGGATTTGTTCAAGCTTTAAGAGGCACACTCAGAGCTTCTGCTCTCTGTGCCTGCTTAGACTGAAGGAGCCACAGGTCAGGATGTGATATTGTAACACTTGACCACAACGAAATGCACCCCAGCCAGCAGGGTTACAAAGTTTTTCTGCAACTATCCAAGCCTCCCAAAACAGCTACAGTTGGTTGTCATTGATTTTGAATATATCACAGTGAATTATTCCAGATTTTTCTTTCAGCTTGCCTGAAAAGATACGGTTGAAGCAGAATGTTTGCAATTGTTTACAGCTTGAGCCAGCTGTTACATCTCTAGAGTATGTGTCTTCAGGGCAACAGCTTCCATACAGCCTGTATTTTTAGCACCAACTCATCTCAAAAAGATTCTCTAACAGCAATTCCAATGTTTGAATTAGCAGTCTCTGAATTCACTAAAGTTCAGTAGGACGTCACGGGCCTTCCTACGATAAAGTTCTTTTCCTTTATTGGCTCTCCCTCTTCAAAGTGTTTTAAGTTAAAAATCACCTTTGATTTAGCACAGAGCATACCCCTAATGGGTATTCTGTATTTTTAAAAATGCTATCTAATGCTACATTCAAAACTTCTCTCTTCCCAGCTTACTGGGGTCTTTTGTTTGGAATGTTGTTACATTTTATTTAGAACATTTTTATTGTTATTATTATTTGAAGATTTTTTTTCTTGAATGTCATATCTCTGCACCACTCCAGAGCCAGTCCACAGTCCAAAAAAAAAAAAAAAAATAAGGAGAAAAGGAGAATAAACAAGAAATCAGCATCTTTGTTTTCCTAGTCAGAATGGAAACTATTGCTCATTACTTGCCTAACACACCTTGCACACAGTTTCAAACTGATGATCATTTCCAGCTCCCACCACGATGTAGCCATCCTTGGTCTTAAAAGCCTGGAAGAACAAAGGTGATAAGCTGTAACTAAAGCATAAAATATTAGCACATCTCCGAAGTGAAACTTTGTAAATAATGTTCAAATGACTTCCCTAAACATTTCTGTTCAGACCCAGTCTCTAGTTCTATAAAAGCAGCTCAAAGGCACACACAAAGAGGGATGCAGCACTTTTGAATTTTTTCCTAGAGTTGACAAGTTATCTCGATTAACAGTTATTTGCTGAAAATGTGCCATGAGGCACCCTGTAACTTTGCAAATGCGTCCCACACTCACAGGCACTAAAAAGGATTACTATGCTAATGCTTCATTCAAGGAGGTACAGTGAAGTGTCCCAGACCCTGAGCAAATGCGGCAAAAAATAATTACCAAATAGCAACTACAAATTACAACTCCCATGAGAATGAAAGGGATAGACTGCATCTTTCCAGCTCTCTGGCTGGAGAATAATCTATCTCCTTGGTCAGTGGTCTCAAGAGTGAGTTCCTGGAGGCAATGGGACTTCTTTCCCAGCTTTGAGGATTTATTATTTACTTTTGACTTCATTACAACAGCCTTACTGGTGAGGTAAGGACATTGGGTAGGACATAACAGCTTTTATTTCAGTCTGAACATCTTAGTTAGATCTTCACTGGAAAAAATAAAATCAGTAATTAGCAATATCCTCAATTTTTACAGTTGTGTCAGGTCATCTTCTAACAACAGATTTCTCTTTTCTCTATACCTCTCCCTTATACAATGGTGTATAACTGCAGTTTCACTCATACATGTGACTAGCACAGTTTTTGCAAACATTTGGGAAAATTTTTTCACAATTAATTTGGCTTCAATGTAAGAGGCCAGCATGGGCTGATGCACTACTGGTGATGAGGCCTTGCAATACTTTCTTGCAGAGTGCAAAACTCAGCTTCTATTCTAGAAATCTTTCTTTTTTATTTTTTTTTCTTTTTTTAATGAGCTATCATGTCCTGATTTAATGGTATGAATTCTTACAATAAATTTTGGTCAAATTGCACACAAATATAAGTCCTGGTGTGGGAACACTTAAATAATTAAAAGTCCCCTCATGCCACTGTGGCTTATTCTTCTTCACAGAAAGAATATGCTATTTCAGCTTCAGTCCTTCATACAGATACAATTACTTTCACAAAGACTCTTACCATCTGGTATAGTCAAAGTTTTAAAATTGTACGTGGACAATTATGCCCACTGAAATGCAAGTAACTGTTCATCATACTTAGAATACCACTTGTTTGCTCTTGCTATGTCTCATTTCATGGTAAATAGTATTGGTCAGTGATGAATCTTAGCAATTTATTTTTCACACATTTAATTAAGTACTTCAGTCTAAGATTCTTAGCAAGCAAAGATGAAATTCAGCAGACACTTAGTTCCAATCATGCAAAAAAAAAGTGCCACAGATTTAGCCCAGTATAGTAAAAGTTTAGAAACATGCATAATAGAAAGGTCCTGAATACTCACACTGAGGAAAGCAGTGAGCACAGAAAAAAATTGGGGAAAAGAATACAAAAATTAAAGTTGTGTGTGAATACATAAACTTTTCTTTGATAAATCTGTTCATAAAGACTTCTTTCTAAAACAATCATGACAGACCCTGGTCCAAGAATATGTAAGACACTCCCCCCCAGTAAATGGCTTTTGGTAGTAACAGTTATGAATTCAAACTGTCGGTACAAACTTATTACCTTGAGCTATAGGCAATATCTGTTTTCTGAACACCCTGCCCAAATCCTGACCTGTCTTTGCTGATGCTCTGAATTCTAAAAGCAGCCACATGAACATCACACAGATTATGGGTTAAACACTGTATCTATCAGTGTGCAAATATAACACAATAGAGTTCTTACTGGTGTGATCACCTACTATGTCCAGTAAACACAAATTAGAATTCTTCGGTATGTTCTTTCAAACTTCTAGTCTGGACGCCTGTCACAGATTGCAAAGCCTACAATGTATGTCACATGTACAGATCCCCTTCCTCACCAGTCCAAAATACATTTATATTGGTCGTATGGGCAAATCTTAGAGAGTTTTATTATTTATCAGCAACTTCTTTTGAGACTCACACCCCTGTAAGAAGGCTGCATGCCACTCTGAAACATGCATCTGAAACATGCAGCTGCCCATGCAGCAGCGGAAGTACTCTGAATTTAAGGGCCTGGTTATTAGCATGTGTGCTTCAGTTGCTTTGTGGAATGTGTGGGAAAACTGATTATTCTTAATTGCACTGTACGTCTAAAAAGCTAAAACAACAATCATGTCATCCTTACACAACAAAAAGGGTATCATAATAAATGCAGCAGTGGTTTTTTTCCATGAAGCTTAACTCAAATGTCTTCAGCTGCTATTTTAAGCTTCCCGTTACAAAACAGCTGACTATTTGCCAGTCATTGCTGCTGATAAAGCAGAAACTTCCAAACGTTACTAGCACAAGATCGATGCCAACATTTAAGGGTGACAATGGTTTTATTCATCACTCACCAATGTACGCACACCACAGGTTACCACAGGTTACAGTCTGGTCACAGAAAGCTTCACAATCTTATTGTACAGACGAGAGTAAGGGCAAAGTGCAGACAGATTTTAATGAGATTTTGTTTTGATGAACTGCTGTCCATCACATCGAATCATTTCACATGAGTGCAACAAAAAGGCACCACACACACACAAGGTAAAAGTCTTTTTTCCCTTCCTTTTTTTTCCGGAAAATGAGGCCTTCTGATAAAATTCTTGAAAGCACAAGCATGAGTTAAGCTGCTACTCCCATGTGGTGTCCTGAGCAACAGCGTATTGTTCAAACAAAACAAGCAACAAATACCAAGCAAAAAAATTATTCCACACCGTACTCGTGAAAGAGGCAGGGACAGATCGTGAGCCTCAACACCTCACAGCGTCTAATGGATGTTACAGGACCTCGGTAAGACCCAGCACTTTTCCAGATTTGATCCTAGAACACTGGGTATACCTGAGACACTTTGTGCACTGAAATATTTTCATGTACCTAAACACATGGCACATAAACTCCATCCACCTTCAGAAATACTCTAAGTTGTATACAAGTATTCACCAAACATGCTATATAGATTACACCATAAAGATGCAGGCCAAGCTTAGCCATAAGTTATTATCAGAACAAAGACTTGCTGAGGCGAGGCAAAACCAGCCTTTTTTTGCACTGCTCTAAATCAATATCCTTTCAAAATTTGCCAGCTTTGAAGGCATTCATGAAAGACCATTAATCATTGTATTTATTGCCCGCTTTATGAATTTTAAGTCTGTATATGCCGTGGTAATCATCAATCACTGTGTATGTTTTTCAATTTGAATGTTGATTCCACAAGCAAAATTTTAAAATGTAAGGGTGTATCAACCACTCTTCTCAATTTTGGACATTCCACAGTTTGCTGAGGGTACAATCTGGCTACTACCTAGATCACTGATGACCATGTTAAATAGCGCTGGCCCACTGTACTACCTGGGAATGACACTAATGATTCACTCCCAGCTGGACTTCATGCCACTGATCACAACCCTTTGAACACAACAGGCCAGCCAGTTTTCGCTGCATCTCAAAAATCTGAATCAGCACTGCTGAGAGAAGGCACTTCATGGTCTAATCTCAAAAGCTGTTGACAGATCCCATCCAGCACACACTGAAATACAGCCTCTAGCCATCACAATTGCTAGCCAGCTCCCCAGTGCCACCAGGATCATCAAGGGTAAATGCAAAGGATAGAAGTGCCACACAGGCAGAAACTAGATGTCACTTTTTCAGAGACTTCCTAGGGAGAAGATTTTGGAAGCCAAACAATACTTGGAGAGACCAACAGAACAAAGCATGGGGCTTTTGAAATTGGAGGACTATTCCATATTTAGGAGAGGTTAATAGCTTTAATTATCTCAACAAACTACTGATTATTTTCATTACTAGTTATCATACTGGCCTGTTTACTGATAATGGCAGTCAGTGGTCGAAATATTTGAAAGCTTACAGACCTCCCCTTAGAGGAGGATTTGCACTACATCAGATATGGTAAAAGGGATGTACTACTCATCTTTATGAGTCTCATCTCCTGTTCCTCTGTGAGCAACAGTTAGGATCTGCAGAGATATTTGCAATCCCTTTTCATTGGGAATAGCTGATGGTAGATACCCTCAGATTTCAACTATCTTGCAAGACAGCGCTGCCTTCTGATTCCTAAAGTTGAAGAGTAGCATCTCTAAAAGTGTCCAACAATGGCTCACGAGGAGAACAGCTGAAGGTTTTCAGATAGTCACTGCATGTTGGTGAGTTCTGAAGCAGGACTTACAGGGTAGTAACTTTTGCATGTCTTCTAACAGCTGCTGGTTTTACAGAGCAACGGGCTGATTGCTTCAAGTGGCATCATAAAGCAGCTTGCTTAAGATTTTTTGGAAGATGCTATCCTTTTATAAAGGCTAGATACAGTATTTCTGTAAGCTGCGTGTTTGTCAGCACAATAGGAAGCTCTCTCAAATTGCATTAAGGGAGAACACTCTTCTGAACTGCATCCCAAGGCTGGCATTGGAGCAAGCAGCTTCATGTGAAGGTTGAATAAAACTCTGGGACCAGCTGGGGACAGTTCAGAACACAGACACCTTCTTGAGAAGTCTGTAAACATAACACCAGAAAAAGCCAGACCAGCATTTTCAAACCAAGCTTTGAAATGTATCACCAACATTTCTTTGAAAGAGATTATTTTTCATGTGCCACTCCTTCCTTTCCCCTCCATCTTCTCATTTTCAGAATCAGTAAAACACTATGTGACTGTACGTAGGTCTTTGTTTATGAGCTTGAAGTACTTCCCTAGTATTAATGGGTGTGATCAAAGAGAAGAGCTGGTCTCTTGCAGGCTTGGAACCACAGAATTTTATTGCATAATTTGTCTTCAATTAGACTTTGAAGTTTCCACTGCAAGATTCAATTCAATGCAAAGGTCATTTAAGGACAAGCACTATCTA